CCAAACCCTCCACCCCTACCCACTACAATACCATAACCCTAGAAATCTAATTTTTTTGACAAAAAACATCCTAGAATGAAAAAAAACAAGTAAATTACAAAAAATACAAAAAACTTACTTCAAAACGATGAAATTTAGAGCTATCTTCGTCAATTTTGTCAGCAATTGCCTTACACCCTTCGACCTACTCCTCTCTCTGCACCGACGAATGAATTTGCGCTTAACAAAATATCTTATTTATGCAAGTTGTTTGCGACGGAAAATTTCCGTCGCAATTTCCGTTGCAGAGCATTTTCTCTAATTCCTAGTATCAAACTGCGTCGTTTCATCAGCGACGGAAATATTCCGTCGCAAAATCCGTCGTAGGTGTAAATTTTTAATATTAAAATAAATAATTAGTTGTGCGACGGAAGGTGTCATCGCACACTCCGTCGCAGGAAACTCGCGGGAACCTTCCCGCCCATGATTCTGCAAGGAATTTTCAATCCGTCGCAACATCAGTCGCAAGTTAGCGCGTTGATAACATCCGTCGCAAAGTCCATCGCAACGTACAACGGAATATCAACCGTCGCAAATTTGCGTCGCAATTTAGCGAATTTCTTGTAGTGAATATTTGCCAACCTTTTCTTTTTAGTAACAAAAATCTAATCAAAAGTCTAATTTGTCCTTGGAATGGTTTGTATTCTCAGCAATCTCCAGTTCCGCACGCGATCTCAAGCATAGACCATATCCAGTGGCGTGCTTGATGGGGCTTAACGGGGTGCAAAGTGGTATGATGTGGATTGATGAAGTATGTGTGTTGTGGGGCTTGAAAAAAGGACTAGACCAAAAATTGATGGGAGAATATGTACATTATTTTGATTGCTTGAAATTTAAAAAAACTAAACTAGGAGCAAAACATCGAAAAATTAGAACAATAAGAGTTCCACGTTTTTATCTCCAAAATAGGAGTACAATGCCAATATATAGAACCAAAAAAAGCAGGATGCCATTAAACGGTATCATCATGTCTTAGTGCAAACTCTAATTTTGAAGATAAAAATATGTATAGGAGAGGTAATGTTACACCAACCCAATTGGTATTACATTGTTACACTAATTCAATTTGAATACCTGCGGTGCTCTGATCGTAAAATTGATCGTTCCTACCCTTCCTAACCCCCAAGAAATCCCCCTACCCCCCATGTCCCCAACGCACCCCCTCACCCCCGACATTTTCATTACACCAAATTTTGTTGACTTTCGGATCAAATTTTAGACCCAAATTTGGTGCAATGAAATTGGCGAGGGTGCGGGGTGCGTTAGGGACAGGGCAGGCTGGGGGGTTTATTGGGGGATTAGGAAGGGTACGTGTAACACCGTGATTCGTCCAGGTCTGCAGCCTCTTTCGGACTAAAGTATAAACTTAGTATTCGTAAAAATTTAAAACATTTCAAACATTTAAAACTTTATTTTATAATAATTCATTCAAGATAATAATAGAGTAATTTAATGTCGTGGAAGCTTAATTAAACACAATACAAACATAATTAATTTATGTTCTTCAGTTCAGAATCATCACATCCATTCCGACTATCTCGCCTTCGTCTGCCTCCAGGATCACGTCACATAATTCTATTGACCTGCGTGTAGCAAATAAAACACACTGCCCGGTCAGCGTTGAAGCTGAGTAAGCATATCTAATGCGTCGAACATCCATATAAATTGAATCTCAATTCATAATCAAATCATTTGGTATCATGCACATAATGTTCAGTTCAGATATTCAATAATCAATATTCAGTATTCATCATTCAACATTCATATTCATCTTCTATATTCAACATTCAACATTCATATTCATCTTTCATATTCAACATTCAACAATATCCTTAAACTATTCTTAGTTTAAGGCCAATCTCTTTAATGTTTATCAACCCTTAAACGAATTCTAGTTTAAGATAATTAAACTATATTCCAGTTTAAGGTACTCCTAAATAATCCTTGAGTTAGGCCTAGTTTAAGATAAAAGAGGTTTTCAATATCTTAAACTTACCTTCGCTTAAAGCCAACCAGAAACCGACAGCGTAGTGTTCACTGTTGGGTTGGGTGGTACCCCCAAATGAGTAGGTGTTAGACACCTCGCACACCTCTAGAGGGGGGGAGTGAATAGGGGTGTTGCCCAAAAGACCAGTTTTTTTTTTTTTGCGCGGAAACGTTCTTCACGAATATTCAATAAAAAACAATGCACCACAAACAAAAGAAAGTGAAGGATAAGAGCAATGCACACACGATATATACTGGTTCGGCCTAAATGCCTACATCCAGTCCCCGAAGCAATCGTGCCCAGGCCTTCACTAACCCGTCAAACTTAACGGAGTTTGACAATCCGAATACAACTCGAGAACTTGATTTCACAAGCCTCTTATCTTACCACCGAAGTTTTGATTTCACAAAACTCAAGATTTCTTCCACCTAACGTTTGATTTCACAAACCGTTAGG